CCCCCCCAAAAAAAAAACAGGCTCCTAGTGGTCTCAGTTGGGTTACAGAGGAGATTTAATTTTTCAGCCTTTCATCTTCACTTTTTGAGGTAAGTTGCTAATAGGTAGAAGATAATATTATAACGTATGTATGGTGCATTTGCATGATGTCTGTGCTAGCCTGCTAAAGGGACCACAGCAGGTGCCATCTGCTCCCTGCCAGGCAGACACAAAAGTCTTCATTGGCTTGCGCAGATATGCTTCTTTGCACAGGGTTCAGTCCCTGTGCTAGGCTTATTCTGAGCTAGGGGTTCCAGTGGAATAAGGTACTTGAAAACCCTGCCTCAAAGGACAACAGAGGAGTGATGCACTCAGTGGAAAAGGGGATGGATGCCTAGGGGGAGATGAGGAGCTCCATCTACATGCAGGATGCTGGCACAGACCTGGTCTGCACTGCACCACAGAACTCAAGAGTGCACCCACTTGCAGAGCGGCTCTACGGCAGCCAACACACAAATTTCTGCTAGCAAATATGCATATCTGCGCAAGCCAGAGAAGACTTTTGTGTCTGCTTGGCAGGGAGCAGATGGTACCTACTGTGGTCCCTTTAGCAGCCCTGCTTTCCCAGAGTGTGCTTTGCACTGTGCTGGAGTAGTTAGTTCAGTGGAGTCATGTAGATCAGGACAAAGCCACATAGAGCAATCCACAGCCATTGGGTGTGCTCACGCTCCAACAACATCCTCATGGCCGCTCTGTCTACTGCTGGATCTTTTGTTGGCAGAAGCTCCCCAGTGTAGACAAGCCCAGTCTGTGCTGTTGTCCTGCTATAAGAATGAGCCACGTAAGAGGTTATCAGCCTGCTGCTGTCTCCAGATGGTGGGGTTGGTTCTTTTTAGGTCAAATGCTGGAGTTCTGTGTGTTTTGAAACTGGGTTCAGTCCCCAGCCAGAGTGCAGGTACCTATGAAGAGAGAAGTAGGGAATTCAGGCAAAATCCCATTGATTTTAGTGAATGCCTTGTCTGAATAATGGTTCTGAGCTGAACTGTATCATGGGGAAGAGCAGAGTTACTGAGGCTCCTACCAAACACAGTTGAGATCAGAATCTGGTCGTTGGTTTGGGAAAAACTTTAAAGTAGCTATCTAGACAGAGACATTCCCAGTGCTGGGAAAAGTAGGACAAGGACTTATAGCTTTAGAGAAGAGGACAGGGAAAAGCCAGGAAGATGTTGAGAGCAACTTAGTAGGGAGGCTTCTTTTTCACCATGCTCAGGAGGAGGTTGGAGATTGTGGAGAGGGGAGTAGAAAGATTTTGCAAAAGGCAGCCAAGGCAGACCAGATGGCCTGGAGCCAGCCTGGTCTATCCAGTTCTTTACACTACTGGGGAGATATGTTTTCAAAACTCACCAATCTGGTTGTCATAATACAGTAGTACGACACATTAACTCAGTGTTGAGTCTTCAGAAATGAAGTCTTCTGGGCCCTGTCTGAGCCCAGGTAACTAAAATAGGATGTAACTGGGAGCATATGGGTTTGTCCCTGACTCTATTGATTCATGCTAATGTTGTCCTCTGGGACACGGTGGATTGCTGACATACAGAGGCCTGAGCAAAGAGGGTCCAGCCAGAAGTCACAAGGCATAAGTGCTCCAAGTCAAGGTTCCTTTATGTCATACTGAGCTAACTTCCAGTGCACAGCTCATGGAGTGGGTATAGAGAACAGGCAGAACTCATTACATGGTGCTTCATCCTACCTTCCAACTATTCTGCATGCACTTCTAGGTTCAGACTATGGTAGGAGGAGCCTTGGTATGGAGGGTCCTGTATTGGTTCACCTGGGCATTGTACTACTTTTGGTGCCAATGAAAATCTAGTTGTCAGAGGCCGCCCGTGCTTGCCCCTACCTGAGGCTTCTGTTCACTTGTCCCTGGAAGCAGGGAACATTGACTCTTTTGCTTTTGGTCTCAGCCTGAACTAGGCCTTGGAGCTGACTCTCATTGGTTTCTGTTCCTCCTGGGAGTTGTCATTTGTTGAAGCATTGCTTTCCTTTCTCCCTGCAGGAAATGTGCTCTGAGTGGCCTGTCCCGAACCTGCAAACACCGCATCAAGCTGGGTGATTCTGGGAATTACTACTGCATCTCTCCATCCTGCAGGGCCAGGGTGAGTCCTTCAGCTTTTCAAGGTGCATCATCAGTGCTCATTCTAGAAAGCAAAATGGATTAACCCCTGGGACAACTTCAAGGAAATTAGCAGAGAGGTACCAGAGCTGAATTTGGCTCATGGGGTTGGGCTTGTTGCTCAGTCAGTTTATGTGAAGTGCTGCTCCTCAGGTTTTGTTTTTTTTGCTATCCAGTGGCTAGGATTGTGTCACTCAGCTAAGGTAACAGCAGATTTCAAAATGTGTCTTCAGTTTATTCTTCCCCATGATTTGATCCTTCATGATACTTGGGTTTGCTTTGTTGCACACTGTAATTTGCTTCAGTCTCAATGCCAGCTTTCAATGGAGAGCAGTGACTAAGACTTATAAAAACAGACTCTCCTTTTGCTTGGAGGGAATGGAAAAGGTGAAATGTTGTTTTGGCTCTGATTCAAGAAAACAGTTAAACAAATATTTAATGGTCAGTCCTACTTGGCAATGCACTTAAGACGCTCCAGGTTCAGCATGGGCTTAAGTGTCTGGTTGAATAGGACATAAAGGAGCCAATCATTTACCAGACCAGGCACCTCTGTCTGCTTGGGAATATTTATGGCAAAGTTCTGACTGTTTCACTTGAACAAAAAAACCCAGCATTTGTTTTTGGACTGCATTTGTTTCCCAGGAAAGAAGTTCACCTGTTTTGAAACTTCTTTTCAATAAGAAACAGTTGTTGCTTTCAACCATGGCCCAGTCTGAATTTTCACAGAGTTCAAATATTCTGGGTCACAAACTATTGTAGGACAGAATTTTACCTTCAGATATTTTAGTGAAGTTTTGCCATCCCTCTCATTTGTGAGTTCCCCCCACCCTGTATGCATCTCAACCCCTTTGTCTCTCAACATGAATTTCTGGTATTTCATTATGTACAAATCCATTCAAATTCTACCTCTCTTTTATCTCCCATTCCCTCCTTAACATACACAGAACTTCTAAGCCTCCCTGCATCCCTAATTCTCAAAGCACTACAGTGGTGTTGCAGATGAGGAGACGGGTTTAGAGGGGTCCTTTAATGAATCAGCAGTGGCGAGATTAGATCCCTTATTTTTCGGTCACAGTCTAACACTGAATCTATTGCCTCATGTTGCCTGCCTGATATAACTTTTTTCTTGTGGTGTACACTTATGTGTAAACCCTAGTTCCACCAAAGGCCACTGCCACAGTGGTACAGAATTCCAGCTGCTCCCAGTGGCTTCAGTTCCTGTAGCACATGCTTTGCACTTCTACAAATCAGCCATGCGTGTACACAAGCGGAGAAGTGAGGGTGCTCAGCAGTAAGACCAAGGTCCTCAGATGCCAGTAAATTTGCATTTACTTTGATGACCTGCGCCATCCTGTGCTGTGTCAGAGGCTGTTTTCAAAGGACTTTTTCTCTCTTGCAGATCACAGCGGTGTGTAATTTCTTCACTTATATTCGCTATATCCAACAGGGCTTGGTGAGACAGGACGGTAAGAGACTGGCTGGACTGTACCCCCACCACAGAGGGTGTGGGGTGGTTGCCCCCTGCTGGTTGTTGGTAGCTATGGCAAGGGCTTTTCAGCGCACCATGGGGATGGGATGGGCCAGGGCAGGCCTGCCCTCTTTCATTCAGAGATGGTTTAGTATAGGGTGAGAGAGGGCAAGAGGGGTTAGTTTGTCTTCTGGAAGGATGCAAGGGTCCAATCTGCCTGGACTGGAGAGGGTACAGAAAGAGTTGAGAGAGTAGCAAGAGGAGGAAGGTAAAAGGCTACTGGAGGGGACAGAAGTAAGGGAGAGAGGGAAGAAGAAAGAAGTGTGTAGGGGGGACCCTGCCTCACCCCATGGTCTGTACATCCCAATGCTTTAGGGATCTGTGCCTCAGTAGGCATTGCTGCCTGGCCAAGCAGTGGGGCCCTGCTCCTGTGATTTGCTCCAGTGCATACAGGCTGTCTTTGAGGGACATCATGCCCTCTGGGCCCACTGCTCTGGAAGGGAAGGGGTGGGGGTGGATGCCTCACAAGGCATTTCCCTAACCCTTCCGCCCCTTTTCTTTGCAGTGGAGCTGATGTACTGGGAAATCATGCGGCTGAGGCGGGAGATGTCCATGGCCAAGCTGGGCTTCTACCCCAACGAGATGTAGGCCAGGACGCAGGGGCCGGAGGGAGTTGCCCTTGCATGAAGGGCATGTGCTCTACTCCACAGACCCACTGACACAGTACATCTACACCAGCATGGCTCCCTTCCTTTTCTCTCCTGCTGGGAGCGAACCACTGAGTGAGAAGCACAAGTTACCCCTCCAAAGGCTTCGCTGCTGTTCAGCCAGTGACTGAAATGTGGACACCCCCGGAGCCGGGCAGGTCCTTGGTTCTCTGGGGTGAGGCCACCTCTGGCTTCTGCCCATCATGAACTCTATTCCTCCCTCCCTCTATGCAGCCTGTAGCTAGTTTTTAAAATTTTATACACAGTCTGCTTCTGTGGGTTCCCCGGCTCTTGCCCCCCCCTCCATGACAGGTCCTGGGACTCCCGTATTTTGCCAGTGGGTCCCTCCAGCACAGAACAAGAGCTAGAGAGGATCTTGCCCCCATCCATCCTTCTGCCTGAGAGATGCGTCTGCTACAGCCCAGCTGTGTGCCCAGCCCTGGCTGATGCCCCCTGCAAACACCAGCACCACACAATAACCTCAGTGAGATCCATGAAAAGCATGTTTTCCTAGTGCTTCCCTGCTCCTCAGTAAGGAGCCTGCAAGGGCTGCTTTTCATTGGCTGAGTCACAAAGAGGGTTTTGTTTCTGTTTTTAGCTCAGGATTTGGCATTTGGTGTTGTAATCCATCATTGAGCAGGCGTGGGGGTGGGAAGTGTTGAGTCACAGCCGAGACCCAAGCTCAGTGCCTGGAGGCTCAGTCATAATGCAGAAGGGGAAATTGCATAACAGAGAGCTGACCACAGCTATGCAGAGGTCAACTGAATTGGGCTGCATGCATCGCCTTGGCATTTCTTGCTGGGACAGCTGTGCTTTGTGGTGGTCCCTGCAGGTAGGAGCAAACCCTGCTGGGCCCCTCTGTTGCCCTGCTCTGGGCCACTTCTGCCCCATAAACCACCCCCAGCTGTGGGCAGGTGCCTTCCACCCATTCATGTTCTAGGCAGTGGCTGCAGACATATACCTTCCTGCTCTTCCATAATAAACCCCAGGTGCCCTCTCTCCACAGACCCCAATTCAGGCAGTTCCCTGCTCAGTGGCCAGCTGGAACTGCCAGACTACATTATGCAGCACAAGACCAGAAGGAAGTACTGGGTCACCTCATTTGGCCTTGAGTATAACCCAGGCCATAGATGTTACTTACCTCTGTAGTAGATCCAATCCTCTCCCATGCTCCCTCAGTTAGCTCTCAGCTAGTTACGCTACTGCATGTGCCTATACGAGACATCCTACCCACAGACCCCACCGAATATATGTAATGTCACTGGGAGGAGGATCCAAAGCGCTTCGAAATCCCCATAGCTCTGGATTAGGCCTTGCCTTGCCTTCAACTGAGACTACAGAACCTCATAAAGCTACAATCCTTGCCATAGGGCCCACTGTAATCGAGCTAGTAACTTCACCTGCTGTTTGGTCATCTCAGCTGCTGTCTCACAGTGCTACATCATCTCTTGCAGCAGTGCTGGGCCCTATCTTTCTGGAATGCAACTTTAATGGTACTGACAGAGCGGTGACTTGGCCCAGTGCTGCCTGGACCTGGATCATCTCAGCAGACTCTGTTGTGTCATCTCCTCTCCTAGGAGGAGCTTCTACAAAAATTACCATTGGAAAAAATCTAAAGGAAATGCATCTGAGTGAACCACCTTGGGTTTGCCCTTGGAGGGGGAGAGGGAATGGAGTCATAATGGTGGACCCTAGTGGCTGCAGAATTTTTGTGCGCCTTGGAGCATGCCTCATTGCATGAGAACCCCTGAGGTTTACAGGGTGAAATTCTCCTACACGGTGCAGATGCTGGCTGCACCTGCTGCTTTGCTGCCCAGTGGGGTTCTCTTCCTTACAGCAGTGGTTGCACATAGTACCGCTTGCATGCAGAGGGCAAATTAATATCTGAAATGTGAGCCCTCTCCGGGGGTGCAGCTGGGGAAACATGTTACTGGAAATGCTCCCTATAGGAATTGCTTTCTGCTTAGAACAGGGCTGGCTTGAAATGCAAGCAGCACTGGCACCTGGTTGTTACCCTAGGATTTTGCTTCCCCAGCCCAATGCAGCAGGAGTGCAAGCCCTCATTCCTTTTCCTGCTTTCCAGCAACTGGGTGCCCTATAATTCTATGGCTGATCCTGGCTGAAAAAATGAGTGGCTGTTTCCTCCAAATATGTTTACACTGTGGAGTACAGACTCAGAGGCTGTGTGGCTGGGGAAATTTAGGCTGGAGGCCAGATTTTGAGCTGGTGTGAGTCAGCATCTCTCTGACTCCAGCAGAGCTGTGTAGGTTGATGTCAGCTGAGGATGTGGCCTTGGATTTTTCCAAAGGGAAAGCTGGGAGCACCTTCCCCAGTTGCAGATTTTCACCTCAGGTAAATCCTTTCCCTTACAGCTCCTGTTGGGTCCATTTTTCTCCTTCACCTCCTGCCCTAGATTGCTATATAATATTGCTGTGCACTATTATCAGTTGCCACGTTCCACCCTGGAGGTGGCTGCATTTCAGCGGTGGGTGAGATGATCCCTCTGTGCGGTTTTTCTTATCATTTTGTAAAGCACTTTGGGATGAAAGGAGTTAGATGAATGCAAAGTGGTGTTGTTCTATACACTCTTGTTTTAAATGTAATACAGTTTGTTAGTTATTCTGAAGTCACTCCATTTAAACAGCAGCATGGCTGCACCCTGCTCTTTCTAAAAGGAAAATAAACATTTGCTATTAGTCTCCCCCAAAGCAATAATCACAATTTCAGACTTGGATTGGCCACATCGTCTGGGGAAAGGGGAGAAGTTTATTGGCTAAAAAGTGGTTGGTGGATGTTTGTTGGATTCAGTGTGGTCTGTGATCAGACAGTATGATGGGGAGGTCCTAGTGGATTGGCTCCCTGTACGCACATCCTGGTTTTCATACTCTTTCTTTAAAGCTTCTGCTGCTTGCCACTGCTGGCTGCATGGAGCTTTGGTCTCCCCTCACCTCCCCACCCCCTATTTTAAGGAAGAATAGGTCTGGCACTTCTGCTGAATATATCCTTAGCTCACTGTTCAGTTTGGATACTTGGAATGCTTGAAACAGGAGGTGCCATTGCAGCACTTGAGAAGTAAGCAAAGCATAGAAGAAACCAATATTGCATTGGTAAAAGGAGACCCCACCATAATGCTGCAGGAAATGAACAGTAATAGTTGAGTAGCTGTCTTAGGAGAATGTGCAGCTTTGTTTCCTTTTAGTGGCTGAAATGCATAGGATAGTTTTGAGTCAGCTGCATCCTCTCATCAACAGTATCAGCCGTTTAGCTTACGGGGTGCCTAGTCAGGCTTTAGTGGTGAAGGATGCTGTTGGCTGCAAGGGAGTTGGTTGCTTGTAGTACTTCGAGTGGAAAATGCTCTGTTCCAGTGACTCCCATCCTGAGTATTGTTTGTGCTATGTGCCCCTTCTGGAGTTTCGAAGGAGCATGGCAAGTAAAATGTGAGCAGGATGCTGGGGGAGGTCAATGTAGGAAGAAACATGTTACCCCAAAGGTTGTGTTGTGCTGCAGGGTGGGTGGGGATGCAGTCCTCCCATAGGAAACAGGCCACCTTGGAGGAGTTTAGACTATGGCCTGGAGGCTCTATGTCTGACTTGCCAGTCTTGGTGCCCTGTATCCGGGGTTTCTAAGGAACAGTTTTATATAATCAGCTGTGGAGCCTGCTTAATGCTTCTGACAGCCAAACACCTCTTGCCTTTGGCAGGAGCAGGAGAGGTCCTGTGGTCTGGGCTATAACAGCCAGTGCCCCTTCATCTGTACATGACCCTTCCTGCTGGGGAACTTCAGCACCATGGGACTGGAGTGTGAAGAAGCCAAGCCTCTGCTGCTGGTTAAGGCAGTGAGATGCTCATAGCTTGGTTTTGGGGATGGAGGCAGGAGACTGGGAACCGGAGTCAGATGTATTAATGGGGGTGCCATAGTCGGTGGCATAATGGGGTGGGGGCGATAGGGATAACCACTCCAGGTACTGACTTGTGTTTGTGTGTGCGGAGAGGAGAGGGGAGGGGAAAATGAAAAAAGGTGGCCGCTGCTAGCAGCAACACATTTGTATTCACAGTCACAGTGGCAAGTAGAAGTGGCTGCTTCTGTTTTGGTCCAGGCACCTGGCTGATGCTGCTGGCTATAGTCCCCCTGTGCTTGTCCATGTCGCTGCCGTGCACTGCAGCGAGGGGGTCAGGACCTTAGAAGCCGTCAGGCGGGTACTTGTGACGCTTGGAGTGGAATTAATTAGGCGGACGCTTATCGGTTGTAAAGCAAGATTATTTACTCACGCCGTCAAGGTGGTAAATAACGGAGGTCAGAGATACTTGGTTAGTTACAGCTTAGGGTTCATAGGTCGGTCTGCATAAGAGTTCGGTGGTCAGGCAGAAAAGGTCGGGCCGGCAGGTCGTTGACTTACGTCTGAGATTGGGTCGAGACGCAGTGGGGCACTGACAAGTGATCAAATTGTCAGTTACTCTGACACGTACATTCAGAGGTTTTTAAGGTGTGTGCGGAGGTCTCCCTTCATCTTTTTTTTTCTTCTTTTCCTTTGTGGAAGTGTATGTGGGTTTTATTTGTATAATAGCCAATTGCTTTTCGCCACGTCATAAATTTAATTAGAATCGCCAATTATCTAGCGGTCTTCGCTAGGGTGTTATTTCACAGGGCTACTCCCTGTTTTCTCTGACCAGTTATGATTTATGTAAAGCACAGAAGGCTAAGTTTCATTTCTAGTTAGTGTCGCAGTTATAAATCTCTTTTTGTTGACAAGCACAGCAAAGAAGCTGTTATTATCATTTTGTTAACCCTTAGTTAACCTAGTGTAGAAAAAAACTGCTTTGAATGGTTTTACTTGCTTGTGACATGGGCACTACTTAATTGGGTTGTGACAGTCCAAAGAAAGGAAAGGCCTCTCTAGCTCTGTGACATGACCTGTGCATCTTTGTTGTAGTAGGACCTGAGCTGAGATACTTTGGTGTTTAATCATTGGGAACCCCGCTCATCAAGGCCCAGCACCCCCAACACCTATTTGCAGGGTTCTGCCTGCAGTGCTGCTTGCAGTGTGCTGACCCTCTAGAGACCTGTTAGGAGACCTCCTTCTCCCCCTCTCCCCCCAATTTTCCTAGTCATACCAATGCTCCTAACATCCTGTGTCAGTGGGAACAGGGCTATAAGGGGCCTTCTAGGCTGTCAAATCCAAGCACCTGTGTTCATAGTCACTCATTACCCAAAGGTATTGCCCCCCCTTCCCCCCAATGGCCACTTCATGCCCTTGCCCACAACTGCCAAGAACAAAATCTGCTACAACAAAAACACCCTATAAAATGCTATAGGCAATAGCAGGGAGAAAGCTGCCAGTGCCCTGCCACTGCAACAAGGGGGAAGTAGATAGTTAATAGATGCTCAGAAGATGCTGGGAGATGGGTCATGCCCTGTGTTAGAAGAAGGCACAACTCCCCACACTGTAATAGGGGAAAAAATTTCTTGACCCCGAATTGGGCAGTTGGTTCAGTGATCAATTGGTGTGGTGGGAGTAGGGTCCATTGCAGCCACAACATCGACATTCCCTTCTCCATGAAGAGTTGCTCCTGGTTCACTCTCCCTGCTGAGGCAGGATTAGCTTGAAAGATGAAGTGACCGAGCCTCCCGCAGGACTGGTGGACTGTGCCAAGTGAGAGCATTAAACTCCCCACTGAGGTCGGGATTACCCAGCCTTGAGGGTTTAATTGGATTAATGAGGAGGTCATTGGAGGAAGAGACCACCCAGACTCTAGCTGGGCATTTAGTGGTGTGCTCTAGCACGGGCACATAAGGAAATAATCTCCCATAACCAATAACACAGTGTGTATGTGTTGGGAGGTCAGTGTAGCCTAGGCTGAGGTTGGCCTGAGCCTACTGCCGGCTAGATTTGCTCTCAGCATTGCCTTAGACCAGTGGTTCTCAACCTTTGTAGCCTCAAGGTGCATCTCATCAGACTCAAGGCACCCCTCTATAACTTTTGTGAATTGAGCAATGCCCCATTTCAAATGCTAATTCATTACAGTACTTTCCTCCTTGCAGAGAGGCCAGGCAGTGTTGATAGGCTGATAGTTGAGTCTGCCCCTATCTGCTTATCTCCTCACCCTTCCTGAAGCACCCTGGAAAGGATCTCCCAGTACCTCAGGATGCCCTGGCAACCTGGTTGAGCATCACAGCCCTTGTCTCCTTCCCTTCCTTAGTGGCATTGGTGCCAGTCACTACTGTGGGGACAGGGTAGGGTGAGTGTCTGCCTCAGCACCTGACACAGGGGCCTTTTGTGCCAGGGCTCTTTTTTCATGGGAGTTTGTGCTTGCGCTGGGGTCCTTTTGTAATAACTGGCCTGAAGCAGGAGGGCCTGGGGTCATAGAACCATAGAGAAGCAGGGCTGGAAGTGACCTTCAGAGGTCAACTAGTCCAGCCCCTTGCCTGAGGCAGGATCATGCCTATGGCCAAACCATCCTATGGCCATGACCCAACTGAGCCTTTGTTCCCCTTGAGAGGGGGCTGGGGCTACAGAGTTTGCAGAGAACACTTGCTAGGTAGAGGAGCAGCTGGGGCCGTGCCTGCTTCTCAGCTCCTAAATCATCCCTGAAACTTAGGAAGCTGCTTGTTTGAAAGATGCAGCTTTTCTCTCACAAAAGTGAAATTGGAGTAATCCTCAGGCCCCTTCCATTCACACTCCCTCTTGGATAGATCTGGGAGCTTGGTCGGTGCACACTGGTCCCCACCCCCAATCACAACCTATGTCTGGTGTGCCCACAGAGACAGCATAGCAGCCCCGTGCCAGCAAGCTTTTGCTCACCTGAAGGTTAGCTTGGGTTACTCAAACACTGTGCAGCAGATGCCATGAACAGAGCCAAGTGGTACATGTAGCTGTGAGTCAAGGATGGCAGATATACACGCCGAATCATCTGTTCCATCAGTATGTGGAGTTGGGTCTAGTCTGCTTTAAGAAAGCCTGAGCAATGGGTCCCCATCAACTTCCTCTCTGCTTACTATACATTCCCAAACTGGTCCTTCCAAACTGCCCGAATAGGATCACAGGACTGGAAGGTCCCACTGTGGTCCTCAAGTGCTGGTGTTTCCAGGAACCACTAACTGAAGGAATCCCCAAGGCAGCTACTTCAAGCCTTCTCCCACAGCCAGAGGGATAGCAGGGCAGCCACGACACATGCAGCAGCACTGGGCTGCTGCAGTACAGACAGTGGTGGCATGTTGAACCGCTGCTGTGATAGTGGCTACTTTTGAGTCCCTCAACAAGGGCAGTGCCCAGGGTGGCTGTCCTGGTCACCACCCCTTCTCACTCCCCCAGTTATGTTACTGCTCACAGCTACAAGGAATCATAACATCCCACTGAGCAAAGCAAGGGAAAAGAGGGCACTGGCACTGGAAATGGTTAAGGTTTCATCTTGGCTTAGCTCATCCACTCAGAAGGAGACTCCTAATCTGGTGATTCTTCAGCCTTCTCTATCATCTTCTGGCCCTGTCAACCAGGGTGGTTGTAGCTCCTCTTCCCCCTCCCACACCCTTCTTTCCCTCGTGCCAACAGTGAGCTAGATTTTCACTGCAGAGGTGATGTTGTGCTGTCAAATGGTTTTCATGGGTCAAAATGCAGTTCACAGGAGCAGAGATCCATGCTGATCCCCTTGGGCAAGGGAAATAAAAGTAGGAACTTAAATAACAACAGTCATGGAAGGACTTTGGCATGATAAGTGTGACTTATCATACTATAGAGAGTCCAGGGGATTCAGTAGGAACCTTGGGTCTAATTATACTTACTGCTACAGCTAAAGCTACAGCTACAGGGTCTTATACTGTAGGACTTAAGTAGTGTTGTAGGGAGCAATTGAGGCCAGATTTATCCTTATGATCCTAGTACAGAGTAGATCCCAGCTCACTTGAGCACCTGAGCTCACTTGAGCTGGAGCTGGGAGTGATAGTGGGTTTCATGGATACGTTAATCCTGTATGCAGCCACTCAGTGCCAATACTAGATATAAGAGGGCTATGGAGATGTCTTGCCTCCTGGCCAAATTCCAAACTGGTATCTCATTTCTGTCTTCCCAAATTCCCCCCAGTGTTTTTGTTGGATGGGATATTGCTCATGCCACAAACTAGTACCTGGTGTTGCTGTGCGCTGTTGAACAGCTCATATGTGCTGCACCAGAGAGAGAAATATTTCCATAGTTGTAGCAAGGGCCAGGCCCCAGGGGTGGCTGTAATGCCCCCTGGTGGCCATGCAGCTCCTGTTCCACCCTGGCTCAGAGGATATCCTCCCCTTCCTCCCACCTGCCTTGCCTTGATGTAAATATTTACTCGGAAAAGAGAAGCTGCCCAGGGGTCCCAGTGAGAGCCCTCGCACACTAACAGGCTGCGCTGTACTACACTAATTGCCTGAAGGGCAAGTTTCATAGCCTCCAGCTTCCCCTGTAGTGACACCCATGCCTCACAGATGTTGCTGTCCAATCAATCTGTCTTGCTGGGGCCTTGGCCTTTTCATTCACTGCCCCCTTTCTCTCGCTGAGCCATCTAGACAAGGTCCACTGTGCTGGACCTGGCTTCTGGGCTCCAGCTCCTTTCTTGCCCTGCTCTGTGCTGGGCCTTCCAGCCCTGCCTCCACTCTGCTCTGTGCTTGGGGCTCTCTGGCCCTGTCTCTGCCCTCTCACATCTATGGGCCCCTGACCCTGCTTTATGTCCCTTTTGGGCTTGTGTTCCTGCCCTCTTGGTCTCAGGCCTGCTATTGCCTGCTTGAGTCCCGTGCACTGCCCCTGGCAGGGTTGCAGACCTCACACACCTCTCAGGCACTAAATTGCAGTGCACCCCTCAGGCATCCCCTTGTTGCCTTCTCATCACCCCCTTGCTAGCCATGACTGATCCACAAGCTTAAACTTAAATGGAAACATAAGCACACTGGCTACAATCTAAGCATCTAGCTGGGGTCATCTAGACCCAGCCCTCTTTCCTGCCTATGCAAGGGGTCGGACTCGATGATCTATTGAGGTCCCTTCCGACCCTAACATCTATGAATCTATGAATCAAACTCTAGGCCCGCTGGCTGTAACCCAATTCTAAGCCTCCCAGCTCTATAACTAAATCTTCCTTGTCTGGGTTCTGTGGCCCAGCTCCCTGCCAGCTTCATCCCCTTGTTTACAGCTCCTAGGTATAACAGGATTCCAGC